AGAGAGAGAGAGAGAGAGAGAGAGAGAGAGAGAGAGAGAGAGAGAGAAAGAGAAAGAAAGAGAGAGAGAGAGAGAGAGAGAGCCAGAAATTCCCACACGTAACATCGTCTTATATTTGGATGCTGCGAAGTATGTAAAGTCAGTGTGACCAGCTAGCATGCATAGTGAGGGAAGTAAATAATATTGATTGATATTAATAAATTAATTTTGTGCTGGTTAATTAATTCGCGCAAGCGAGCGAGACACACACACACACACACACACACGCGCGCGCAGAGAGAGAGAGCGAGAGCGCGCGAGAGATGAGGGTTAGTGTTGAGCATAATATACTTCCTCTACTGTGTGTGTGCGTGTGCGTGCGTGCGTGCGTGCGTGCGTGCGTGCGTGTGTGTGCGTGCGTGCGTGCGTGCGTGCGTGCGTGCGTTATATATGGTAAGGCATAAACCGGGAGAAACTGAAACATTCGTTCATTGTTTCATAGCCCTGGCGTGATTGTCACAGAGCTGCAGCGAAGAGGAGGTCTTGATGCTGAAGCTTATACCAAGGTAAGCATTTCTTATTAGTAGTTAGCTGACAATTTTGCAAACGTTAATACGATTTAAGTGCAATCGTTAACCAAATTCGGTCGATCACGTAAGTTACCTATCCATCTGCCATGATTGACGGGCAACTATGGCTAACCATTGTAGCGATAGGATTATCTAAAAGACATCGAAGTGCCGCAAAATCGACGTTTAGGAGGGCACGCCTATTAGTCTAGCTTGGCCCACCGCGCGAAACAATATCTAAGAAGTGTGGTTATCACTCAGGGGGATACGTACGTCACGTATGGAGTTTTTAGTTCATAATATCTATGTGATAGTCGTGCAGAGATGATATATTTCACGGTATTGCTTTCAGTTTCTGGAGCACAGTCGGAAGACCCACGCACTCGGTCGCACGGGACAACCGATAGAAGTCGCGCGTGTCATAGCCTTCCTCGCATCTAGTGATTCCTCCTTCATCACTGGAGCAACTATACCTGTAGATGGTGGCCGCCATGCAATGTGCCCATATTAGTAGGTCACGTCCAGGGAGATGAGGAAGTGAAAGTGAAGATGATGAAACGTTATGAAGCCAATACTTGGCGGAAATTAATGCCGGGGAAAGAAAGCAGGGAAGTAGTTTAACTAACGTTGTTTGCATATAATTATATATAATTATATATATATATAATATATAATTATATAATTATATATATATATATTATATAATTATATTAGTCTTACCAAGTGATCGATTAAATTTACAATTGCGAACATTTAGAAAAACCACGATTAAGGAAAGACGTTAATAGTCATATGCGTCAATGTTATGAATAGTTTTAGTTTACTAGTGAAGCCGGCCGCACATTGGCGTTATTTAACACTGCATGTTGCTGTTTTTTGCTCCTGCTCACATAATACACATAGCAGCTAGACACGAGTCAAGACGGTTCAGAAGCCAGGAGGGAGTGGTAACTGGGGTAGAGAGGAAGGGTGAGAGAAATACAGAGGGAAAACAAAGAGAAGAGAGAAAGAGAGACACAGTGAGAAAAGAACATATGTACATATCTTTTCTCTGAGATAGAGAGAGAAAGAGAGCGATGGGGATAGAGAGAAGGAAGCAAGAAAAGAGAGAGTAAGAGCTGAAGGAAAATAAGGAAGGTAGAATATGTAGGGGGTGCATGGGTGTATAGGGGGTGCATGGGTGTACAACGGAGAGAACAACTCGGTAACATAGGAGGAGGTCTTTCACACATCATGTTTACAGAATACACGATTTTTGAATAAAATACCATTTATGACTCAATTACACACCTGTACTAAATTTCAAATGGGAACAAAAAATGTCAACACTGTGACTTGTGATTAAAAAGTTTTATTTATACACTAACAAACGTTTATAGTGTGTCTTATATGTGATAACGTAGCCCTGGACACTCAACAGATAAATATAGCAACAATGAATAAAAAGATTAAATAGATAAAAAAACAACATAAAATCACCCAGTTTCAAATAAAACATACCCTTGAAACTGAAGCAACAATTCCAATTATAAATAAATATATAATAATATCATTGTGCAGTAACCTACATACGCACACAGAAAATGATGAAAATGATGAGAACTAGTTAAATCACAGTAATAACGAAAGTGGGTCAAGGTATAACATGACTAGATAATATATACATATAAGTACAACAAACACATAATTTAACTCTTTATAATTATATCATTAAACGTTTCCTCAGTTGCAATGCTTTCTCATATTTGATATATTATATATGTACATTACACACTTACATAATATTTAACCAATGTGACACACACACACTATTAATAACAGACCACATTATTCGATTACACAGCAAGGTGAGGAAATAGTCATACCTCCTTGTTCTAATCTCATTTAATCTCATCCTAAGTCTAGCGAGGGCTATGCTGAATGTAACTAAAAGACTCAACCTACCTACCGATGCGATTCATTCAGGAACATCAACGGTTTTCAATTTCATTAGCACAATGGTTTAATGGAAAGCTGAAGACGATGTAAAAATCACGCAAAAATTCATACAACCAAGTGAGCATCACATGAGTAGATAAGCTACAAGCAGCTAGCACAGAACTGGATAAGCTACACCGTGGATGTCATATCACGTGACTGTGTAGGCGACAAGCAACTATGATGTGATTGCATAAGCTACACGTAGATATTACGTGATTGGATGGCCTACATTTGCACAGCGACACCATGTAATTTGACAAGCTACACGTGAATGTCACGTGATTTGTTGTGCAGTTAGAGCACGTACACATAATGCAGCACATTTTCCAAGAAATTTTCCAATAGGTTCCCATAATATTCCAGACCTCGAAAATGTCAGTTTTAAATTCCAGGATTTTCCATGTTTTCTATGACCTGTAAGAACGTTGTGTAAGCTACATCGGCACCTGCTGCCTACATCACCACCCTCAACGTCTACTTCTGCTCACTCTTCGTAGAGCTTCCTTTCTGATTAGCTTAGCTGCCTCGATAACCTGCGGCGGCATCAGACTCATTACCAAATCCACCTGCAACAGAGGAGGGTGGTGCACAAGATAGTAAAACCCGCAAATTATTTCCACATAAAACTGTACAACAATATGACACCCAGTAACGGACGACTCTTTCAAAGATGCTAGCCTTCTGTCTGTTATGATCTGTTTATGTAGTGTTGCTGCTGAAAATTTTGTGGTTTCATTGCAAAATTGGCCCTCAAAGGAAATGCCAACAGTGCCCCTTATATACAGCTGCAACTCTTTGTTCTATAGAGGTGTCTTTACTGTATAACTACCACTCAAGAGACACCCCAAAAGTGTTCTTTATAGATATTTACAAGTGTCCATTTTGTAGAGGTTTCTGCTAGCACAGGGGTAACTTAGCCCGCCAGGCTGTGCGACGGATTGTCTATACATTGTCTACGGTATTCTAACCCTAGCAGTACCGTTTCTTGGAGCTAAGGGGTAACTGTACTTGGCATTTCTACATCAGCCCACAGCTTGATGTTTACCAGCTAAAATAGCCAACAACTATTTGATAAAGGCTAAATCACTGCATTGTGGTTGTGATAGGCAGTCCCTTTTCTATATAAATGCATTTGCTAACGCAGGCGTGACTGCAGTGATATAACCAACAGATAGGCAGAGTGGTAGGGGGCATCTTACCTTCTCCTCCGGCGCATAGGCCTCGTAGTTTTCGGGAAGATGGACCTCCTCTACGTGACCTTCCTTCAAGATCTCCTCGAGCACAGTGTCATGATTATTCTCTGTCATCAGACCCACGCAGACGGCCAACGTGTCCTCAGCATTACGACCCTGCAACATCGCCACCACATTCGTAAAAGAGAGAGTGTCTATTTGTAGTGACTAAGAAATGTTTAGACCAAAATCTGTTTGTGGTAGCTCATAAAACCATTATTGCAAGCCGTTCACATGCAACAGTCTTGCTGTATGCACACTGCTATGCATAAACTCATAAAATATATATAAAGCATCAAAGAACCTAATTCACTATGAAAGTGGGTAGGGCTTCAAAGGAGAGGAAAATATATACACATGTTAAAATTTGTATATATATATATAAAAATATCTATACATATACATATATATAACGCAGTAGCTACGCGTCCGGTCATCCATTACAAAGCTCAGCACAGATTCCCAAATCCACGTCACGATATAGGCCACGCCCCCTTACAAATCGTTAAATTTACTGAATTTACTATTGCTTCAAAAGTTACAAAAACTCGTTTTTTTGATAAAATACCTAAAGGTATATAATATTATTGTAAAACTTATTGTGTATTGTTTAAAAAAAAATATATAGTTGGGTTCACATATAAAATATATGACCGGACGCGTAGCCTGGGCCTATTATAATGATTTACTATGGTTGTCTAGGTCGGCGTTGCAGCTAATCATGTTGGCTGTACCACACCTGACCAGGACCGAAGGCTCAATCGTCAATGTTTCAAGCATAAATAGCCTGCGATCTGTAAGCGAGAGTTGTTATAGTATGTCGCAAAGGATGCGGGTGCTATAAAAGCAAGAGCGCCCTCAACAACGTGGCTCTAAACAACCTACCTCATTATTACAAGTTAAAATTAGCGTTACCCCGCAGTAAAACGCAAGAGGAAATACAAGCATATTGCAATCCTAAATTATTGATTACTGTACAGCGCACATCGATTAGTCACGTCACTTGCTATATATCGAATATATTATTATAGAAGATGCCCTAGCTTATAATTTGGCGCTATATATTGTGGGTCAAACGGTTCCTGAGTTATCGTTGACCGAAGCCAAATGTTGACGGACGGACGGACGGACGTACGACGGACGACGACCCATGGCAATAGCTCAGCTTGACGATGTCAAGGTGAGCTAATAATATGGCCTGCAGGCCACAGATTAAAAAAAAAAAATATATACACACAAACAATGGAAACACACCTGATAGTACCACCCTGCAGGTATGATCAGGAGTTCTCCTGCTCCCTGCATCACATCCATCGCAACAGCATTGCGGAATAGACCGTATCGGCTGTAGTCAGGACTGAACGCGTCAATGGGACTGTAACAAAAACCCTCACTTCACTGCACTATTACAAACTTACAACATCAACGAAAAACAACATCAACGACAAAAAACTTGCAGCTTAAGCAGGTGAAATCCAGCTCTGTGGGAAAAGGAAACGGGCTCCTTAGCTGCTTTAACACAGAAACATACCCAGCACACTCACTGATCGCAGATATCAGCTGCCAAGCTATCTGTGTTTTTTCTACATAATAATAATGTAGTATTTCAGTAATTGTAGAAGCTAAATGGCTTACCTGGTATATCGCAGCACACGCAGTGGCATATCTGGCGTCGGTCGCGCGCTAGCGTATAAGTATGCATCATGTCCGGGAGAATAGAGCTGTAACACACAACACTAGTTAAGCACACGTTACACAGAGGTGGCCTCTCAAGTGCAGGATTCGAATCGACCCCTAGAGCAACGCAAATGTTGCCTAGTGTTTAATCAGATGTTTTAGGGCACCACAGTTACTTGGTACAGGGCACGAATACAGGAATTTCCTTCAAAAAAAGGTTAAAAAATCCACTTACACTATAACAACACTGACCATTGGTGCCAGTGCAAATTTATAACCATGAAAGCTCAGACTAGTGGGTTTACAGTGTGCCATGTATTACCTGCTGAAAATAATTAGAAAACTTCAACCTGAGAGTAACTTTTTACATAGCCATGAATTGCATGACAACCCTGTTTAAAATTTTTGCTTGACCAAGAGGCCTTTTGGGAACTCCACTGAGTCACCCTTATATACAAATTTGAGTGTATTTTTGCAGCATGCATGTGTTCTCAGATGCAGATTTGTTTGCAAATGTGATCAAGTACACACCTTCCATTCCTTTTTCCCAGACAAGACAAAATGCAAACTGGTTCGGTTATACGGATCCATCTGCAGGGTTGATTTAGAAAATGCTGTCCCCCATTGCAGCTGCTCCTCCCACGGCTGCAAATGCTCCGGAAACCTACCAAACAAGTTCTCCTGGATGTACTCCTGGCAATTAGATGCAAATGAATGTCAGAAATTAACAGAACATCGTTGCAGATATCTCCTCGACTCGACAACACATGTTAGAAAAATTTAAAATACCAAGCAAGCTGAAAATTTTACATGAGTATTGAAATTGATTTTTTCTAACGATATCAGATTGCATGAACATTATAGTAAGACTTAAAGTGCTACGAAGGCAGGTCTCATGGGATACAGAGTATGGTATGAATTCCCGCATTGAATCCCGCCCAGGACATACTAGCGTCTAGAAAATACCCTTATTCCCACAACATACAAGATGAAAAGATAAACACACTAGATGGAAGATGGACTCACAAATTTTCCAATGTCCATTGTGAGCTCCGGATTTCTGTAGAAGAACGTCGAATCTTCGGTCAGAGCCCACCGTTCTGTAGAAACATTGTCTCTGCTCTTGTAAAACTTTTCCAGCTTCACTATGACTTCGTTCGCAGTTTTCGACTTACCCTAAAATGAAATGATAAGCACCGATCATAACACACTCGCTTTATGTGCGTCTCTCTCAGCCTTGCAGCCTGTCAAAGGTCACCAGAAGATATCTCACTTCAACACAGTATGTACTCTTCATACCTAGATAGTAATAAATTTCCTCGAGCAAAAAAGTAAACGGCCACCACCAGCATTGATCTGTCGAGACTAGAATCCTGGATCCACCTCATGCGATTATCAGGGCTCGAATTAAGCGACGAGAAGGGCAAGGCAATTTTTTTAGGGCATGTGAGAAATCGCCTTGAATTTTCTCTAAAATGGAAGGGCACAGAGGCAATTTTAAAAGGCACCAAGGCAACTCTCAAAATTTGAGAAGGGCACAAAGACACTTTTGTAAAATAAAGGAAAACTCATAACAAATTATTACATCAACATCGTCTTGCTTTTAATGTACAAAACAATATGCCCCCATGTAAGCTTACACCGTAACACCGACCCCTGTACCCCCCTCTGCTAATGGAAGTACAGTAACAAGAAATTTTACATGCCCGCTATCAGGAGCGAATAATTATCCGATGCTGTTATTATTCCCTCCTGCGACTATCGGTTTTAAGCTCATCATTGCAACGACAGCACGCACGCGCACGTGTTATGTTGACTCGACTAAAAACGAAACTAGGGCAGTAGATTAAAGGGCACCGACGGCAATTACACAAAAGGGCAAGGCAGGTGACTGCCATCGGTCGGGTTGGATTTTCAGGGGCAGTACGGCGATTGATAGGGGCACCGACGGCGATTGCCGTCGGTGCCGTCGGTTAATTCGAGCCCTGGCGATTATCATATATGAACTCACCCGAACTCTCTTCACTGTTACTTTCTCCTGACCATAGTAGCTATAGAGAAACTCTGCACTCCAATTCATCGCTCGCCAGTGTTTAACTACTCCAGTCACCATGACAGGCCTGCAACAGTAATTTACACACACACACACACCTGCAGTTACAAAGTTACACAGTTACTATACCTATACACGTATATAGAGGAATTGTTAGTATTGTAACAATAATAACGGTAACAATAATAATATTATATTTAGTAGTATTGTTGTTGAGTTTCTTGCATTGTTAGGGCACTAATAATATAATGACAGTAGAAGACAGTGTTTTTTCTTTTATCTATTTCCAATGTCAACATGTCTGTAAATGGGCATATTACGTATTTGATACATGATTTAAAAGACAAACACTAGATGACAGCAAGTATTTATAACTAAAAACACTCTATCACATCGTAAATTTCCATTGCCATTTGATAGTTTGGTATTAACTATGTTGTGCATCATGCCATGTGAATAAGATCATCAGGTAGTTTGGAGCATTTACCATTTTGCATCATAAAGTTTGAGGTATTCATTCTTGTTGAGTCTCAGTCGTCTGTGAATGCCGTCTCCCTTGTAGCCATTAGGCAGGACTTTCCCACCCCACTCCTTCAGCTGATCAGGTCGCTTGTGAGTAGTGGAACTCACGCCGCTGCCAAAGTGTGTCTGGTAGAAGTGTTCAAAGCTGTAGCCGTGCTCCTGCATCTCCTGATAAACCTGCACGAAGAAGACGCAAGTCGATGAGCAGCAGCTAGCACCGTAAAGTATGCGACTTCACAAGCATGACGAAAGCAAGATGCAGTGGAAGTGATTATGAATTTGGAATTATATATAAGGTCTAGATGGTTCTTTTTCATATAAAGCTCCCTGCATTTGTTGCTAAATCTGCACAGAGAAATCGTCGGTTAGTAGTGCAAGGAAGCCATGAGACTAAACGCCTGTGCGCAAATAACGGTCTATTACAAGACTATATATTGGAGCCATGCTGCTTAGCAGCATAAATGCAATGTACATGTCTCCATGAGTCCAAGGATAAAGAGAGGGATGCAGTGTGAATACGAAAATATATACGAAATTATAATGCCACATACGGTTCTTTTTTCATACAAGTGCCGCAGAGCGACAGCGCTCACCTGACGGCAGGTGTTCTGATGCTAAACTCACTGGCAAACGAATGAAGAGCACCCTCCCATCACCGCGTTCGCGCTCGGAGCATATATCTAGGATACTACTAATACAGATCTAAAATCTATGATAGCTATGCTTTGCTATACCGGTAGTACAGTAATAAAGATACAGCTGTGTAACTTTAATTACTTCTCTATATATTAACATGTTATCATGGATATGCGTTGAGCACGAGCGTAATGGTGATGGGGGGAGAGTGGGGGGAGGGGGCGGGTGGAAGGGGCTCTAATAGCAAAAGCAGTTGCCGCGAGATGGCGCGTGCAAGTGTCATCAATAACCAAAGATGGCATCACCCTTCGTGCGTGATAACCTCACTCCATTGAGTTGCTGAAATCCAAGTATATTCAGGCAGACGAGAATTTCGCTCAGCTGTGAGTTAACACATCTGCATTGCAGGTTGCCAGGCAATAATTATGATTAGAATAGTGCCAGTTCACCCCCATGCATGCGTAATAAGCTGCCCCCATGTTTTTGCTTACACACACGAGCATTCAGGGTTAATTACAGTCTGCTATTACAGGGTGCTACTCAGGTTGCTAATACAGACTGCTTTAGAAAATAATATGATTTAAGGCGCGTAAACCTTGTTCAACAAACATTTGCCTTTGCAATTGAACTGTGCAACTGTAGCCTCACATCCACAATGGCAAAAGCAGTTCAGTCCTTTGTTAACAGTCAACAAATCCATGTTTAACCCTCCTCTTGAGGGTCAAAAGGTTATCCGACACTTACTCTTCGCATGTCAGCAGAAAGTACATTTCATGGTCCTTTCAATAAAGCCATAAAAATGCTAGGTCACCGCTGAAACAAAAAAGTTTTTCAATCGCTCCGTCAGACCATGTCCTCAGAAAATGTCTAAAATCTTCCCTGTGCCCCATTGACCTTTGACCTGTGACCTCCAATTTCGGCACAGTGATGGCTTTTCCTACCATGATGCTATACACCGACTATCACGAGCCTAGGTCGAGCCGTTTAGATTTGTGCCGCAATTCTGCATTTCCTCCCTATACCTTAAGTTAAGGAGGGAATGTTCCCCCTTCTTTTACACCTCTTGACCTTTGACCTTTGACCCCCAGCTTCAACATCCCAACTCGTTTTGACGATTCCCCCCAACGTCCCAAATATCGTGACCGTACGTCGAGCGGTTAATATTTGTGCCCAACTGTTGTCGGACGGACGCTCGCACGGACGGACGATCATGCGATTCTACAAGCTGCATCTGACTATGTCAGATGAGCTAATAAATAAATTTAATTTTGAAATAAATTTAAAATACTTACTAAGAGTTAATACATGGTGATATCGAAAATTTGACGGTTGCTATGCAAATTCATCGTTTAGGACCGATCATTTTTACAATAATTCTCAATTTTCATTCTATCCTACATCAGATGCCTACACAACAAACATCTCAATATTGTTATTTAGCGATGCACCTTCAACGTGGTGTCATGACACTGGAAACAAATCTAGCATACCTGTAAGCCAGTGAGAATGATTAGGGGAAGCGAAGCCGCCATAATTCCGGCAAAGTTGAACTTTGTGTTGTTTTTTGGGAGCCGCTTGTCTCCGATCGTTTGTTCTAGCAAGTCTGCCTTCTTCTTCGTCACATATCGCTTTCGGAGCTCAGCGACCTCTGGGCTCATCACCAGGCGTGCTCTAGTGCCAGACTCCATAGCGCCACTACTCAGCTGTATCACTGTGAAAATCATTGTCATCATAAAAGGATTGCTGATAGAAATGTTTATATTTACATATTACATTTTATTTGATTAATTATGATACTGCACAATATTTTCAATAACTTTCACATATATATTTGACGAATGTTTCATGAAAATACAAGTTCACGTGGAAATAGTGTAGTCATTATCAATAACTGAAACAGTGATAGTGAATTGGTTATACTTGTAGTGATACAAAGCAACACCTAAACGCTAGCTAAAATGCTAGCTAACACCTGCCACTTGGGTTTCTGTAGATACAATAATGTAACCCAACAAGAGTAGGGTTACAACGCAAGCCTATTCTTTTCTTTGGAGGAGATGGATTGGTAATTCACTGCGCATAGCATTCAGCTAAGTTCGGCTCCTGTGTTGCCTGACATGCTGGCTTGGGTGATGTCATGACTGACAGCAGGCATCCCATGATGCATTCGATCTTGGAGCCGAAGTTAGCCGAACGCTATGCTGATTGGGAATGCGTATGTTTTTAGTTTAATACAGAGTATTGTGATACATAGTAAGTCCCAGGATAGCGGAGAAAGGTTCGTGTTTAGAATAAACCCAGTTTGGAAGTTCTGGTCTCGAAAAACGCACCATAAACCTGCCCTGAGTGAATCACTCAGGGGCTCCTCCAAAGAAAAGAATAGGCTCGCGTTGTAAGTGTAACCCTACTCTTGTTGGGTTACATTATTGTATCTAGGGTTTCTGGTGCATTTTTCTACGCGCACAATATTTCTTTGCCCATATCATGACAAGGCCTTTAACCAGTACCTCATAACCTCGTAATGATCAAGTCTTAGACTCTAGACTCGAGTTTAAGGGAATATGTATGATATCAAAGACAGAGAGACAAATTTGATCAAATACTGAAATAGACATATCAACACTGCACGGCATTGGGCAGTATCCTATTTTAGGTCTCCACCCCTCATTTTCGCAAATGTAAGGGTAGTGTCCTTAATTTTAAAATCGACAGTATAATTCATTAATTGTGGTAGAAAAAGCTTTAATTTTACAATTATTAATTAACATTTTACAATGACTATAATCAGGTCGGGTGTCATGCGGCATCAACAACCAACAAGTTACAGCTAACACTAACAGTGCCAGCTGGATTGTGGCTGTGCCTACTTGGTGTACTCGTATGAGTAATAACTAGAGTTTGAGGAAGAAACATACAACTGAACTATCATTATAATCGCTAAACATCACAAATGCAAAATTTGCAAAACATACATAGGGTCTACACCTGCAAGTGCCAACCAAGTTCGGCCGCCCGAGAAGTCATAAGAGGCAGGTGCAAGATAACGTAAATAATACAGATGAGATACCGATAAAACTCGGCGGCTGGATTCGTGTGTACCAGGGTTTAGTCACGTGATAGATACAACGCAGCCATCTTCACTCGCTTCGTGTACTTTCAAAGTGTTTGCCCAACACTATAAGTTCTCCAACTCACTCCTAACACAAGGTTTGATAATCTTTTATGATAATTATACTCTATTTTCGTTTAATAAATTTGCGTTGCCAGTAATGCTTGCTAATTTACGATGACGAGGCGCGAGCCGTATTGCCCCATTGCCGTGGCGTAGGTACGTATCAATTATCATGCCATATGATACCAAAAATGGTCATCGACACTAGAGCAGTTTCACAACACGGGCAATAACAAATGGACACCCGATAGGGTTTATCGTCACGAATATTGCAGGGTGGAGGCGATGTTACGACTATGCCATTCTTCACTGCACGTTATTTATATTTTGTTAAAAAAATCCTTGTATTTGCAGATGTTGTTTTTATTTTATCTTATTTATGCATAGCTCTAGTACGGTACTATATAGTCCGAGCCGACGCAGACCCCAGTAATGGATAAACCCGCACCCTCAGATTAGCAAAGCGGAGTTTACGTCTGCATTTGCGGACTAGGTACTATAGCGCGCGGATAGCTGCCGCAGGGCTATAGCACGTTCTGCCATAGATGTAATGACACCAAATGCTCCAACGGCAACTGGTCTAACCAAAAATTTATCCCCAAAACGCAAAATGATCGGGCTTTTTAACACTTATTTATCTACATGGACATCTCACCTATTTTTTTGAACACTACAACTTTACACCATGTATTTTTGCATTTATTCCTAAAAGTCAGCACTACTGGTGTTTCGTTTTCAAATGCGGTTGCTCTGCTTATGTGTGCACGCGTGACGTCACCCGAAATGTAGACAAAACACATGGGCAGCTATGATTCAGCTAGCTCTAGTACTATAGCCCGCTCACATTAACTGCCGCTGGGCTATAGCATCAGCCATTACGAATGCTCGGGACCAACTTACTCCAGCCATTCAGCGGGAACTATGTATTTCCGCACGTGGAGGGGTGGGCGGGTTGTGTTGGTTGTGGACAAAAACATTGTTGTTGTCAAGTAACAAATTAATAATAGTAATTTGTTCATCTTTCATGACAAAACTAATATTATAATCTCTTGATCGCTTAATTTGTTACTTGACAACAACAGTGTTTTTGTCCACAATCACCCCAACCCACCCACCCCTCCACATGCGGAAATACATAGTTCTCGCTGACTGGCGCTGCTGCAGCGCCGCCAGAAATGGCCGTTTGAAGTTCGCAAAATTGAATGTTCGTTCACAAGAAATACCACAAGTATACCATTGCAACGATAGTTAGAGGTTCAATTTTAGTAGCGGCTATAACTTAAGACATATTCACTTCGGATAAGAGGCATTAATTGCCTACCACAGACGTTTTATAGCCGGATATAATCGGGGATAAGTTGGTCCATCGCATGCCCTATGGGTCGTTCTATAGCCCAGCGGCAGTTAATGTAAGCGGGCTATAGTACTAGAGCTATGATTCAGCCTAGTACATTTTGGGTCACGTCACGCATGCACACATAAGCAGAGCAACGGCATTTGAAAACGAAACACCAGTAGTGCTAAGACTTTTACTAGAATAAATGCATAAATACCTGGTGGAAAGTTGTGGAAAGTGTTAAAAAAGATAGGTGAGATATCCATGTTGATAGATAAGTGTTAAAAAGCTCGATCATTTTGCGTTTTGGGGATAAATTTTTGGTTAGACTAGTTAGAGCATTTGGTGTTATTACATTTATGGCAGAATGTGCTATAGCCCTGCGGCAGCTATCCGCGGGCTATAGTACTATAGCTAATCTATGCAGTACTTAAGAACGTAGGTTATCTGAAAATTTAAATGCCCATGTGTGATTCATTTGCTAGAGGTGGTACCTAGATTTTGAAGTGTAGGCCCTATCTGATTTCAAGAAAGGAATTCAGGCTGACCCAGGTGTACAAATTCGCATGGTCGTTTGTTTGCCAAGGTTTCACCCAGGTGGGCGTGTGGTAATATCACTGCAACGCACACGACATGCTAGTTTATGTACCTGTGCCTGTGGATGCAGAGTTGTGCAGCTAGTTAGTACTACTACTAGTAGTCCGAACCGACGCAGACCCCAGTAATGGGGTCTGCGGGCGTGTCTATCTCAATCACGGAAAGCCACCTCCAGTTTGGAGGTGGCACTTATAAGTAATATATGCGCCCGATATATACAATCCTATTGCGTGGAACTTACTTTAATCTGAAATTGAATCATTTATCTACGTGCATGCATGCTATGATGTCCAGGGCTGAGAATATTCCGCGGATCGAAAATCCGCGGATTTCACAGTCCCAGGGTCGATTTTGTGAAACGTCTAAATCTGTTGAGAGAGAATTTTAGGGGGGAGGGGGGGTTAGAATGTACAAATTTTCATTTTACAGTCCAACAGTACCTTCATTTAATAACATTGTAACAGGAGTAAGATAATATAGGATCTATTATCTTATACTCGCCTATATTATCTTACAATTATAGACACGGCTTAGTTTACTGTTTGAGATTGTCAGACGTTGGCCAGTGTGTGTGTTTATTTGACGCTGCAAGTGTGTGTGTGTGTGAGCCGTGCGTGCTACGCAGGCCGGATATAGTACGCGATCGATCGATCGTGTACATCAAAAGCCGCCGCGTCACGCGTGGCCTTGAGGCTCGTTTTATGAAGTAGCCGGCCCAGGCTCTGCGACTGTTTCACGTGGTAGGAAACGTAGGTACAATTACAAACTTTTTCCCTTCTCGCCAACGAAGTTCTGTTATACATAACCATAAAAGGTGGTGTCGCGAGCTGCCTTTTTCGGTGACCTTTGAAAACGATAAAAAAATTAATGTTGCGCGATCATGCCCTAGCTCCTAGTGTGTTAGGAATATTATATCGTGCACGCAAGGGAGGATTGGGGCAACCTTTGGCGTAGCAAATAAAGCGTTTCCTTTCGTTATGTCTGATCACTGTGGGGCTCATAGACTTGCCTTGGCAGCAGGACAAGCCCGCTAAAGTTGTTCAATATGATAAAATATCTACTGTAGTGACCAGAAACAAATTTGAAACTGCCTGGACAATGAACATCTTATATTATATACTAGCGGGATACCCGGCGTTGCCCGGGGAAATCAGTGGCGTTACTCAGTTGGTGACCGCTTGGTTGAAAGGAAAATACCACAAAAAATCGAACTATTTATCTATCCATGCATCCATCCATGCATCCATTCATCCATCACATTCCATGCCATCCCATCCCATCCCATCGCACCGCATCCCATCCCATCCCATATCCCATCCCATCCCATGGCATGCCATCTCATTGCATCCCAGGCCATGCCATGCCATCCCATCCCATTGCACCGCATCCCATCCCATCCTATCCCATGCCATCCCATCGCATGCCTTCCCATGCCATCCCATCCCATCCCAACAGTAAAAAATAATAAGAAATCAAAAGATAAAAGTCATTAAAATAAAAAAGTAAAAAAAAATAAAAAAATAAAATGAAATTATATAGAAAATAGTTGATATGTAACCTACATAGGCTTCCGTGAAGTGTTCCCGTCAGTTTGCGCTATCATTATCATCTACCATAGTTTATTCTGGATTTTTACTAAACGTTTAAATGTGGTAAAATTTTTTTTGAAATTAACGGTGAATACGGCAGAAGTACATAAACAGAAATACTAAACAGTCCAAAAGTAAAGAAACAAAGCATTTCCCGAGGTGGGATTCGAACCCAGAATCAATGGTTTAGGAGTCTGATGCTTTATCCATTCGGCTACGGGGTCGTTATGGTTATACACCATGGATTCACACGTACGTGATGTATAATGTTAAACTGTATGCCATCTATTGAAGAATAGAATTTTTATAAATTTTTAACTTTTTAACTTTTTTGCCTCCGAGAAATTTTGTTTCAGCCAGAACCACCTCCCAGCTGTGCTGATTCTGAAAATATATTTAGTTTTCCTCTAGGCTGTGGAGTTCTCTAGCTATGCGCGAACACACAAATTCGGCTGAACAACTTTATATATATACTAGCAGACTAATACCCGTACAACGACCAAATCGTGCCTTAAAATTATAAACTTCATGTAAGTGACACAGTTGAAGTTAAATATTTCATGCAACTGAAAAGAAAACAGAAACAAAAAAACATTTTGGGAAGAAACAAAGAGCGCAATTCTATAAGTGAGCAGGGGAAATAGTGCTCAGTTGGTGACCACTTGGCTGAAAGGAAAATACCGCAAAATCTATCTATTTATGTATCTATCCATGCATGCATCCATCCATCCATCCAGCCAGCCATCCCTCCATCCATCCATCCATCGCATGTCATGCCATGCCATGCCATGTCATGCCATCCCATCCCATCTCATCCTATCCCATGCCACCCCATGCCACCCATGCCATCCCATCCCATCCCATCGTCTTCTATCCCATCCCATCTCATCCTATGCCATCTCATGGGATCCGATCCGATCCCATCGCATTTGAACCCCATCCCATCCCATCCCATCCAATCCCAAACAATAAAAAAAAATATTTTTTAGTCTTTTAAACTTTATACCTATTGCTTGGTCTCAAAAGATTACTTCTCTGTACTGTACGGTTTTGAATTTATGTGGCTTTGAAAATGCATTGAGAACTTGTGCGCAACTAGTAAAAATGTGCATTGTTACTCATGACAAAATATGCTTTACAGGGGTTTTCAAAAAATAATAAAAAAATAATAAAAATTCTGCACAACCTGAAAAAATAGGAGTGTTGTATGCCATAGGTAGTTTAAGATAACATTAGTTCAATTTCACTGAAGGGTGCATTTCTGAGATATGACTGTGCAAATATGACTGATTATCACTTATGCGTTAATTTAAACAAAATCGACCCTTTCCCATTACTTTTGAATAAGCATATCGCAAAAAGTATACATTCAATTTCAAATGTGACAAATGAGGTATCAAAATGTTTCTTTTCATGAGCTTTATAATAAAATCCACAAAGTTTAGAAATTTCGTGCACTTTAAAAATGTCACTGTGATACCTACTTATAATAGCTCTAGTACTATAGCCCTTGTTCGCCACAGGCGACAGGCCTATAGTACTAGAGCTATGTGTTTAAATGTTTTACGGTTCTACCTATGTGGTCTTTTTCTCTATCACAGGACTTTTACCAAAAGGAGGGGGACAGGGTTAGAGCTAGAGCAGCTTCTCCCTAGAAAATACATTTTCTTGCAATTTATCTTATCTATTTAATGATATCATTTTATGAAACTGTATAGAACTAATCAAATTCATCTTGATCTACAATAAGTCTACGAAAAAATATTACTGTGAACTTGATAGGAATTGCACTGTGTATGATAACATCTGTGGATAACATATGGAACTAGAGCACTCGGAGAGCGCAGACCTCCGCCAAGGCAGCTCAATTCTGTCACTGGAAAATTGTATTAATTAATTAATTAATTAATTAAATAATTAATTGGATCCGGATCACCACCAAAATGTAATCAATTCTAAGTTACCCCATTTCTCGAAAACTATTTGTTACATATCTGCCCCACTATCTCCTTCTGTGCTATTTCCAAGCACAATAGACTGACTATCTGGTAAACCCACACACATACAAAGAATGTCAAATGCACAAAATCTCCAAGAAATGAAATCCTGGGACTGATAATTACATCCGCCAAGAGGTTGGCAGAAGGTTATGTTTTCACCGGCGTGTGTTTGTTGGTTTGTGGGTTTGTGCGTTGGTTTGTTTGTGTACAGCCTAACTGGAAAAGTTATGGACGGATTGTCATAAAATTTTCAGGATAGGTCAGAAATGGGCTAACTTATAATTGATTAGACTTTGGTGGTGATCTGGATCCAATTAATTAATTGATTAATGAAATTTTCAGGATAGGTCAGAAATGGGGTAACTTAGAATTAATTGCATTTTGGTGGTGATCCGAATCCAATTAATTAATTAATAAAATTTTCAGGATAGGTCCGAAATGGGGTAACTTAGAATTAATTGCATTTTGGTGGTGA